GTACTTTTATCATCATCATCATCATCACCGTGTCTCACCGTCCCATCATCATCATCATTATTACAACTACACAATAATATATATATTTAAATATTTTTTTATAATGAAAAATATATTAATTAGAGATTCTTTTTTTTTTTTCTTTTTTTTTGTTTTTTTTTTTTTCGTTTTTTTGTCGACATATAAAAAAAAACACTCGCTCACACTCATTTATATATATACATTTGTTTAGTAAAACGACGAACTGCATTTTTTTTTTTTTTTTTTAATAACTAACAAATATAAAAAAAAAAAAAAAATAATAATAATAATAATAATATTAATAAAATAACTTTTGTTCTTTCTTTCTTTCTTTCTTTCTTTCTTTTCTATTCTTTTCATTTACATGCGAGCGACAATTAATATAATAATTGCTTTTGTTGCCAGCAATAAAAAAAAAAAAAATAAAATAATAATAATAATAATAATAATAATAATAATAATAATAATAATGATTCAATGCTTTCGTCGAAAATGCAAAAATTTATAGTTTTACAATGTGAATATGAACAACACACATTTTTTTGCATTTTTCAAACGAAAACAATTAAGTTTTTCCCATACTCATTTTCCGTTCGAATGTATGGAAAATATTTACACACAATTATTATTATTATTAATTAAATACAAAAAAAAATCAGACTTGAACGGCGCTGGCACGTAAGCAAAAAAAAAAAAAAAAAAAAAAGAAAAGAGTAAAAAAATTTTCACGTGTAAAAATAAATTTTCTTTTTTTTTCTTTTTTTTTTTTTAGGCATTCATGTATTATAATCATCAACATTATTTGTTTCGCTCTTTCTCTCTCTCTCTCTCTCTCTCTCTCTCTCTTTAATAAGAAAATCTTTTTCCTTTTTTTTTAAATATACAACACGCGCACACACAAAATTTAATAGTAATAATATTATTATTATTATTATTTTCCTTATATATATATATTTTTTTTTCTTTTCTTTTTAGGCTTAACAATTTATTCACGCATTAATTTTTATTTTTTACATTACCCCCATCAATCAATCAATCAATCAATCAATCAATATATATATATATATATATATATATATAATAATATATATAAATTCTAAAAAAAAAATTATTATTATTATTTTTATTTTTTTTTTTAAAAACATTCGAGGCACAATTAATTATTAATTTTTTTTTTTCTTTGTTTGTTTGTTTCTCTAAAAAAAAAAAAAAAAAAAAAAATTATAATAATAATGATTTTTCAATATTATAAATAATTACAAAATTAAATAAATAATAATAATAATAATAAACTTCGCATATTACCACTAAAAAAAAAAAAGGGTTATGTACCGAAATACAAAAAATTACAAATTAATTATTATTATTATTATCATCATCATCATCATCATCATCATCATTATTATCATTATTATCATTATTATTACAGAACACAAAAAAATTTTTTTTTACGAGTAATTAAAAATAAATATAATGATTAACAATAATAATTTTAATTAATAAATATATATATGAATTAGAGTTTCAATTTTTTTTTTTTTTTTTTTTTGATTTTCCACAATTTTAATTATTATTATTATTATTATTATTATTAATATTAATATTATTATTATTATTTATATTTATTATTGTTCATTTCGAATTTATTTTTTATTATTTTATATAGGCAAGGAATGCAGTGCAGTCTAGATGATAAAATTTCTTTTCATTTTCATTTAAAAAAAAAAAAAAAAAAAAAAAAAGTGGCAGAGCTATTTATTTATATTAAACAAACAACTAATAATAATGATAATAATAATGATACCTCAGGAGATTTTATGATTCAGAAAGAGAGTTGGTTGTTGTTTGTTGTACTTTTTGGTGCATTAGGCATCAAATTATTTTACATATGAACAGTCGCGAGGACCACAAAAATTTTTTAAGGCCCATTTTTTAAATATTTAAAAAAAGAAAAAAAAAATTAAAAGAAAAACATTGCGTTATTATCATTATTGTTATTTTGTATAAACAAAAAAAAATTTTTTTTTTTTTTCTCTTTTTTTTAAAGGCTTTGTAAAAATTCGGAATTTTTTTCATAAGATTTTCAAGTTGCATTGAGGTGAATGACCACGTGAATTACAGCCAACTACACGAAACAAGAGCTAACATTTTTTAAAATATTTAAATTATTTTTTTATTTTTATTTATTTATTATTTATTTATTTAAACAAATAAAATAAAACGGTAAACAATTATTTTTTATATTTTTTTTTTCATGTTTTCAACAAACCCCGAAAAAAAAAAAAAAACCAGACTTCACTGCAATTTAACTTATTATTTTTTATTATCAAATACATAAAAAATAATTAATAATAATAATAATAATAATAATAATAATAATAATAATAATAATAATAATAATGTTTTCAAGCCGAAATGATTAAAAAAAAAACCATTTAAATTACAATGAGCAACTAAATTTTCTCTTTTTTTTAAAAAAAAAAAAAAAAAAAAAAAAAAAGAAAAAGAAAAAGAAAGAAAAAAAATGAGTAAAATCACAGCAGCAAATCTTTTTTACACGTTTAATAACTTTCTTTTCTTTTCTTTTCTTTCTTTCTTTCTCCCTCTCTCTCTCAAATAAATAATAAATAATATTGCTATAATTCCCCTCGATGAATAAATAAAAATTGGTAAATTGAGCAATATAAAAAAAAATTAAAATAAAAAAAAATATAAAATAAAATAAAAAAACTCAATTATTATCATCATCATCATCATCATCATCTTTATTTCTATTGTTTAATAATAATAATAATAATAATAATAATAATAATAAAACTTTGAATTTTGATATTTTTTTTCTTTATTTCTTTCATGCGAATATATATATATATATATATATATATATATATATATATATATATATATATATATATATATATATATATATATGTATGTATTTGTATTAAATTCCAAGTTGAATCAAAGTGTGAAACCGAAGAAGTAATTAGAGCATTAAAAACAAATCAAATAGAGATTCCACATTAATAATAATAATAATAATAATAATAATAATAATAATAATAATAATTTTAAAAAACCGTTAAAATAAATTACAATTTACACGTGTACAAAACACGTTTCCAGGTCCAGAAATAAAATATATATACAGACACACACACACAATCTGGTACAAAAAAAAACCTACATAAAAATAATAATAATAATAATAATAATATTAATGATAATAATAACTAAAAATCAGACTTTAGCCATTAAATCGAAAATTAATTATTATTATTTTTTTCTCCTTTTAATAAAATATTAAATTAAATTAAGAAAATTAAAATTAAATTTAAAAAAAAAAAACAAATGGCACACGCTGAATAATAATAAAAATAATAATAATAATAGACTCTTCTTTTTTTATAAACTTAAAGTTATATATACATAACTATTTCGACGTCATC